GAAAATCAAAACTTTGTTGACGGTGAACATCTTGGTCTTCGTGGGCATCATCCTCTTCTCCGTCTACTGCAGGATCCAGGACCGCTCCCAGGAGCTGGTGCAGATCGTCCGGAGCGCGGACCGCCGGGCCAGGAGCCGCGGCGCCAAGGTGGGCAGCCTGGCCGACAGAGAGTCCATCCTGCAGCGCCTGGACCACCTGGAGGAAGTGGTCTACAACCAGCTAAATGGTACGGAGGGTTGGGAGGGGACACAGCACCAGCCCCATGGTGCCCTGTGTCCTGGGAGGGCGCCGCAGGTTGGGGAAGAGGACCCAAAGTGCCCGCTGCATTGGGGAAGGAAGCATATGCGCTGATCCCACTGCTGAAGTGCTGAAAACGAAAGGAAAGAGTTGGCTGCAGGGTTTGCTGGAGGGATTTGTTGAGCCCCCGTGCCAACTCTTGGCCCGAAGTCAGCACTTCTTTAGTAGAGGCAAAGTTAAGGAGACTGCAGAGTTCATGGGTTTAACGATTGGTGGAAGTCCCTATGAACTGTACCAGGTTTTACAGTTTGCCTGGATATATTAACTCTGTATGGGTGGGTGTTTGTATAGCAAATACACTACTCGATTGTATCTGGGAGTCATATACTTGGTCTCAGAACTACTTTAAAAGCATTCTACTGAGTTCTTACGCTGTGTACTTTTAATGGTCTATTTAAACATAGCACCCATATGTTTCCTTAATGACTTTGCCATTTAAATTTGATATTATCTTTGGTGAGGAGAGGAAGCATCCACTGTTGCTTTTTATGACATACTGTTCTAATTCATCAGCCTTGAAAAATCTTGGTAGGTAAGCAAAGAACCCTTCCATGGTAGTTAGAACAGTCTAAGCCATAAAAGTTGTTATAGGACAACTAACGTTTCATATAGAAACTAATTCTTCAAAACAAGTGCATTTGTATTTGAATGGATTCATAAAGTTCTAAATGTGGAACATCAAAGAAATAAGTATGTGATTAAATACATCGGTGCTTTGGACAAGGAAGAGGCTGAAGGAGTGAACTTTGCATGAAATTATAATATAAATGTAACATTTAGTGTCTAGCACCAAATAAAACTTCCAGTGTCGATGTGCTTAAGTATACCAAATGTGTTTCTAGGCTGCTTGTGAAAATCTTACTCATAACATTGATTTAACAAAGGCTACTGTAGACTCGAAATGCAGACAAATAGGAGGCTTAGGGTGAAGTATATCTCCTATTACTGCTTTCTGAATGAATGTGTAAATCTAAGTAGGTTAGACCGTTATGGTAATATGCAGTCTATCCAGCAAGTGTTACAGAACAGGCATCCACTTACGCACTCATCTGTATAAACAGGGAAGAGAGAAGAGGAATGTGGAGTGTGGGTGTTAGTCGCAAAAATACATGTTCATGAATTAGAGGGGAAGTGTCAACAGCTGTGTTTCCTAACCATGTTTTGGAGCAGTTTCGAAGAACGTAGGATTTAAGAGGGAAATCCTCTTCCCAAATTCGATAAAGCCATATAGTTCCCAAACAGATTAGATCAGTACCCGAGCTATATCCATTGTAACTCAACTGAATGGGTTTTTTTTTTGGCCTGAATTGATTTGTTCTTGGTGATGTTCATAGGTGAGACTTTGGGTAGGATTTACCTGCTCTGGGTTCATCTCAGTGTAGTATCCCCTGGAGAATCAGCAGGAGTCCTTAATGTACTAGACAGGCACCATTGCACGTAATGACTGTGGCTTCACTGTAAACAGGAAGTTCTCTGTGAAGTATGCCTCTGTTTTGGGGACTTTTTTCTTCTTTAATTTGGTTTCCTTGGATGTGGAACTTCATAGTGTAATTACTTGAACTTAAATGTTATGTTGCTTCTTCAGGTCATAATAAACGCTGCAGGCAGTTTCTTCTTCTTGAAAGTTCTTACACAGGAAAACAGAAAGTTTTTCAAGCTGAACTGTTCAAATTTCCTATTCATTTCCCTTCATTTTCTCTCTGACACAGTTGCTTTTTTTATTACACAGTGGTACATTAACAGAGATTAATTATTTCATCATCATTATGAAAAGATACTTTGTAGCTTTCCTCTTTTTTTTTTTTTTCCCCTCCATCCTGTGGCACCAAAACTGAAAAGTCCTCAAAAATTAAGAAGTGCTCCACTGAAATCATCAGAGTTGCATCACTGTAAGTTAAATCAGGATCAAGGATCTGTGTTTGGGTTTAGCTCACTGGTATTCCGTTTTTCATATTGTGACTCATTACTTACACCATTAATGGGCATAACGCTGCTCTGGCAGCATTGAGATTCAAAGGAGCCTGTCTGTGACAATGCTCTACTGTGTCTCACAGAAGGAGTGGTATTACAGAAGCACCCTGCTCTGGAGCTGTGTGGTTTCGTCCTAATGTCGAGCAAGGTTTCTCAGACATTATCCTATATACTGCTTTATCACAAAGTTAGAGAGCCATCTGTGGCCTTCTTGGATGTTACTTTTTCATAAGGTCAGTCAAAATCACTTTTATATGGACAGACAGACATGGGTATACAGATTTTATTCATACGGAATATGAATTCCTCACATACCTAGAATTCCTGCAAGCACCAGGAGTTTGAGTCCAGCTCAATGTTATTGTTACTGTAGGTCTGTCCAGATCAGTATTTCAATTTTCTCCTCTTGGTTCTTTCTATTTTGAGATCAGCAAATTTAGAGCCACCTATTAAGTGTCTTATATTTTTGGAAATAAGGTGTCAGTGTTCTGTTATTTCATTTTTCTCTTCTATTCAGATTAATCCTAAACTGGTAAGACTTTACCTGGATTTTCTAGGGACTCTGTTGAAGATCCAGTGTAATAGAAAGACAGTTCTGTGAGAAACCAGCCCTGCAGCTGCAGCTATACAGAATTTTGTTTCTGTCACACTTACTTGTTTGTATGCAATCAAAGAAATGTTATTTGAAAGTGTACCTTCTGCAAGGAAAAATAAACACAAACAGTAATGTTACAAGTGTATCAAGAGGCAACCTAAACCTGGTCACTAGAGGACTCATTAACTTTTCAGTCTGAATAAAAGCTGTGCATCCAGTGCCTGTGGAGGTGCGTGTAGAACACAGAGGACCATGCATGAAAGTCAGTAGAAAGCTGGTCCTTGCAATTATCTTTGGCAGAACAAGAATTTTTAGAATAGAATGAATGAGAATTGCCATGACTCCCTGCAGAGTTGTGCAGGCTTACACCCAAACAATAGTTTGCAGTTGACTCGTGCGTTGGTTTTCTATCAACTTAGAAAAACAGTATTTCTGAAAGCTTTCTTTACGCTCAGCTGCTGCTGGTTTTGGTGGTAGTAAATGAACTGAGTGTGCAAAGGGAAAGGAAAGCAATGAAATGAGTCTGTGGAATTTCCTTGGTGAAAAGTTGTATTATCTCTTAATATTTGACTTTGGTTTAACATTTATTTCGAAAAGCTGAGTTGTTCTACATCTAGTTCATCAATCTATACATTTTTTCATTTTTACTGTTGTATTTCTATTGATGGATGTGATTTATTGTCAGTCAACACAGAACTAATGACAGATAGACTTAGTAGCAATTCATGAAATGGCATAACAATAACACCTTGGTATTTTCTTACTTTGACTCTATTTTTTGTAAAGGGGAAAAAAATAAAAAAGACTTGACTGAATTTTTCTCCTAATCAGTTTTACATCTGAGTCTGTTGCTAATGATTTACCATAGAGGATAAAGAATTTTTGATGCCCCAAGTACAGCATAACCTTTCATGCCAAAAGCAATTGAAGAGTCGGACTACAATTTCACTGTAATTGCCTTTTTCCCTTTTCACTGTCTCTTTCCAGTAATACACAACAATCAATACAGCATGTAATTAGATTTCATTCAATCTGCAAAGATTAAGAGAGTTTTCATCTTCTCATTATGTATGCTCACGTCATGTTTTCCTACCTGTGTCTTCTACATTAGACCTCTTTGACCTGTTCTATTTCAGACGTGGAGGGATAAGGCTGGAGTATTCCCTTGAATTTGACAGATTATCATTCTTTACACATCATAATTTGATTTTACTCTCTTTGGGAAGATTAAATACAATAGCAATTTCCAGTATGATAAATGGGTTTTATATTTCATACGCATTTCATGGAGGAGGCTGGGGAAAAAAGTGGACAATTCATATAATTGCAGCACACAGGCTTAAAATGATGGAAATAGCAGGTCCTAGGTGCAGAGGACTGATTCATGCAGACTGTGACTCCTGATTGTTAGAGTATACTGGAAGCAAAGTGATTGCATTTAAAATTCAGTCTGGCAATCTGCATGCTTAAAAGGTACACTAGTATTTTTAAAAGGACAGTTTATTCTTTGTAGGCTTGGGACTGGTTGAAAATAGTTCCAAATTTCCATATTGAAAGTAAGTGTTGGGAACAGGCTGCAAATGAATCATGCGAATGTCCACATCAGACTTGTCAAAAAGAAGCTTTTACATCTGGCAACTTTCGGTGGAGGAGTAGTTCCTTTGCAGAGAAGAGAGGTAAAGCCGCGTGTGCATGGAGGAAGATTAAGTGTGACTGCCAGCCTTGCATTAATGAAACTGCACCTTCTCATACCTGCATACAGTTTCTCATGTTATAATTTTTTTATTTAATTTGTTTATGGTCTGATACTAACATGCATCTGACAAAATTAGCACATAATTATCTCTGAAAGTATCAACTTATTTGTGGGGACTGCTCTCAGCCATGTGCTTTCCTTACCCTAGTGAGTGGCTTCTTCATGTGATCTCATTTTGAGGATTTTTTTAAGAAATGCAAAGTTTGGCCTAATGAAGTCAGGAGTTAAAAATATCAACTACTTTTTTTTTTTTTTAAGTTAGGCTGCAGTTTATCCATTTACCACACGACATAGAACAAGTATTTTCAATTGTTCTGGATCAGTAAGTCAGACTTAGGTAAGCAAGCATTGTTACAGCCCTGACCTCCTCTATTGCAAAGTGATGGTGAAGTCCAAAAGACCAATTTCTCTTCACATTGGCTTTAGCTGTGTTAGTCTTGATTTATGTAGCTGAGGAAGTTCATAATCAGTGCTTTCAGGAAGACCAAGATTTTATTCTCCAAAATAAGGGAAGAAAACATCATGAGTCAATATTTGGATAGCCCTTATAAAAATAGAAGGTAATGTTCGAAATAGTATTACTCTGTTTAGGCACTTTAGGAAGAAA